TTATTTATTTATTTATTTATTTATTTGAGACAGAGTCTCACTCTGTCACCCGGGCTAGAGTGCCATGGCATCATCATAGCTCACAGCGACCTCAAACTGCTGAGCTCAAGCAATCCTCCTGCCTCAGCCTCCCGAGTAGCTGGGACTATAGGTGCATGCCACAATACCCAGCTAATTTTTTTTCTATTTTTTGAAGATACAGGGTCTCACTCTTGCTCAGGTGAGTCTCCAACTCCTGACCTCAAGCAATCCTCCTGCCTTGGACTCCTGGAGTGCTAGGATTATAGGCCTGAGCCACCATCCCTACCAACCAAATATTTATATATAGGCAGTAGAATGCAACTGGGTTGGTCTATTTCAGAAAACTTTGCAAATGAGACTTCTTGTAGAAGTCTCATTAAATATGGCAAGAAATTAAAGAACTTTTATTAGCTTTGCTGTTACCTAAGGGGTTAGCCATATAAAAGAATGGAGACTTATTCAAAATGCAATTACCTAGAATCCCAAGGAAATAACTTAGTTTAGCACTATGCTAAACAAGTAGCATTGACCAAAGCAATTGTCCTGTTGATGGTTTGTAAATATGTCTGTCCATTATCTGCTTATTTTCAGGATGGATTGAGGATATTTCTGATGTATAGCCAAGGTTCTGATGGTAAAATTGCTTGATTGTTGTTCTGGACCTAAGGCATTCAACTTATTCTTCAGTGATGTGGGGCACACATTTCACTGTGGTTGGAATGAAAAAATAGCCCCAAAATATTTAGAAATATTAGAACGAAAAAAATGAATTCTAAAAATAAATTTGAGAATACTCTCCAAGACTTATTTCCATGGCTTGAGAATTGGTATTAGCCTTGGTGACAATGAACTCAACTCCTCCCAGGATCCATATGCCACTCTGTGCATTTAGGAATTCACTGCTGAACCGGTACTCCACCATATTGCAAGCTCACTGTTAGGGTGGAAAGCGTCGTAGGTGCTCATGGTGCCGGTGGAGGAAAGTTTCTCATGCAGAGATTAGGATATATAAAACTAAAAAAGTTTATTTTATCCTTTTAGAAGGAGAGGGAGAATGAGAGGGAGAGAGAAATAAAGAGAAAGAGAGGGAGAGCAGGGAGACGGGTGGCATCCCAAAGAAAGGGAAGGGGGTGCCAGCCCTGAGGCCAAGTGGCTTGCTGATCTTATGGGGGCAAAGAGAAATTAAAAAAAAGTAGTGATGTCAATTGAAACAGAAAGGGCTGTAGAGTAATTAGCAGGGGGCAGCTTCCAGACATCAGGTTGTCCGGCTTTTTCATTTTTTCTGCTCCTGGAGACTTGATTATCTCTGAAATGTAGTCAGGCTTATTGCAGAGAATGTGATTTTGCCCCTCAGATATCATTTTAGGTAGGAAACTAAGGCCTGGAGTTTGCCTTTCTGCTGTCCCTCCCGGAGCTTCTCGGGAACACCTTGAGTCTATAAAACAAATAAAGAGAAATATTTACATTTCTTTTCTGTCTTTGGGCCCTTTTCAGATGTTTCTGAAAACAGAGTTCCTGCAGGGTGCCTGCCAGCTAGGGAGAGAATAGAGAGAGCAGGGAGACAGCTCATGATTGATCTTTAGATGTTATTAGGAAATTATGGGATTAGATATTTTCCTGTTTTTTCACCAAGGCCGCCCCTTTCACTCACATTTCCAAGTACTACAAAGAATTAATTTGGTGCACCTGACTTTTAATAGGTAACAGCAGCCTTCCCAAGAAACTCACCTAATTAACCTATCATGGTTAGAAATCTGAAGATTTAGTCTTTTGGAAGAGACTAAGCTTCTAAAAATCAAAGGAAAAACTACCCTTGGCCTCAGTGGAAAGGGAGACCATCGGGAGGGAAACCATCAACTGAGGGTTCTTAAGTATTGCCCAGAAACAAATTATCTTTGGAAGAAAACTACCAAACCAAGATCTTCGGATCAAGCTGCTGATGATACCAAGTAGACACTTCTCTACCCAAGACAATAAAACAAGATAAATTTTCTGATATCGTCACCCTCCTGTTTAAAAAATTTTGCTCTACTCATCATTGTGTTTTGGTGCCCCCTAAAGCCCAAGCAAAAGTTTTCAAGCTTCACAAATCTTGTTGATCTTATCTTAATCCTCTGTAGTACAGAATTTCTCTGCCACCTAAGGAATGGCAAAACCGTGTTTTTCTCAGACTATAGCTACTGTTTAAGCCTAACTTACTAATGTATCTTTTATCCTCCATCTGATTCCACTAACAAAAATTTAATGGCTATTCCTTTCAACACTTCAAAAGGCAGATTTTCTTCTATAGGTCCCTCCTGGAATTTGAATTTTCTTGACAATGTTAATTTTTACCTTCAGTTTTATCAAAATTGGACACTAACCCCAAACGACAAAATACTTCTCCTGACAGCATTGCAACAATGTATTGGGGCTATCCTTGCTGTATTAGTCTGTTATCTTCAATGACTCCCCAGCCTTCACTCAAGCAATCTTCACATATTGAAGGATTAATAATTGTCTTGCTGTCACTGTGATCAATGATACTGACACACCCCTGATATAGTTTGTGCAACACTAAGGTACTGCTTTTTATGTGGACATCAGGTCACCTGATCATTACACAAACCTATCCTGTGTAATATACTTTTAGACTATTTTATTAATAATATTTTAAACATCTACTCCTACAGGAGACTGTTTCTCTGAGAACAGTACTCAAAGACCTAAAACAAGGCAAGCATGGAGAGATATTAATAAATGACTCTCTCTTCATCTGCACTCTAGGAGCTACAATTCCAATAGTAGGAATAATACAACTAGAAAATGTAGTTCAGAATTTGTCTCTGGCCCTAAAAGAAGTCATAAATGACAGTATTTTTTCTCCAGAGGTCCAATAAACTACTAAAATTTCATGGTGGTCATGGATGATTGTATAGTCTTTGGTTTCTTCTTGGTTCGCCAAGAAGAACTTTGTTTTATAGCAAACAGTGTTTGCAGCACCTACCTAAAACATTACTGGTTAGGTAGAACAGTATTGTGGCTAAGTTAAAAGAAAAGATTATCTGGCTCTCTAGAACAGATTCATTTGGATTTTTGGACATGATTTCATGGCCTGGTTTTGAAATCCGGCCCTTTCTTTGTAGCCTATTAATAGGATTAATAATTATTTTGATTCTAGTAATTACCTGTATTGTAGTTGACCCTGGTTAGCTTAAATGCTACTGGGCAATCATTGTCTTTTCAGATGATTCAACGCCTCATTTTGCAAGAAAAGGTATATGAAGACCAAGTGTATGTAGATGCAGACAGTGTTCTCCCAATAACCTTGTGATCAATGGATTCTGCCAGTGATATGGACTTGTACCCCACGGATTAAAGTCCTGAGGGCTGACTTTGTCTGTTTTTGGTCAAAAGGGGAGGCTGAAAAGTGAGAAGCACCTAGAAGCTTGCGGTTGGAAGCTGACAGGTAAATTCTAATCATCCCTACCAAACATAAATATCTCTTGCTAAATACTTTTACTGGTTAAGAGCACTCAGTGATTGTGATGGAAGATGTAGAAAGGCTAGTCTGTAATTATGTTTGAAACCAGAGAGAAACAATACTCTGTAATCAAGACCGTGATAGCCTCCCTACCTCCTAGATAAAAGTTACCAAGATAATCACCAAATTGCCCCATGTTAGAAAAGCGATCTCTGTTTCCCTAAACACTCCTTAGACTCACCTAGCCACCCCTACAATTAGCTTTCTACAAGTTTCTCCTGTAAGGCTCTATTTTCCTGCGGTGTTTTCTGTCCCTTGATGCAGCACATTAAATAAACCCATCCTTGTCTGACTACATATAGTCATTGCTTGGATGCTGGTACCTGTCCAAATCTAGGAAGCCCATTCTGGAGCCTTCCTGCTCCAGTACCTTCTGTTCCTCAACCCCAAACCTGGTTCATGCCCAGTAGATTTGCTCCAAAATTCTTTGAAATTAGAATGAAGAAAATTTTGGATTTCTGGGCATCAGAAAGGTAAGCACTGATCTGATAATTCGGTTTGGCCTAAAAGGATTAAGCTCAGAGTAAACAATTACTTAGAATGGATTTTCTTTATTCTTTTTTTTGAAACATAGTCTTCGCTCTGTTGCCCTGGCATCAGCCTAGCTCACAGCAACCTCAAACTCCTGGGCTCAAGGATCCTCTTGCCTCAGCCTCCCGTGTAGCTGGGACTACAGGCGTGAGCGACAACGCCTGGCTAATTTTTTATTTCTGTTTTTAGTTGCCAGGCTAATTAGTTTCTATTTTTAGTAGAGATGAGGTCTCACTCTTGCTCAGGATGGTCTCAAACTCCTGACCTTGAGCGATCCTCCTGCCTTGGCCTCCCAGAGTGCTAGGATTACAGGTGTGAGCCACCACACCCAGCCCTAAAATGGATTTTCTTGAGAGGAGCTACTGGGATTGGATGACAATTCTAAAGTGGTTCAAGAGGCGGATCATTTAGGCGCCTATAGTAATGACAGGGCCTTGGCCCTTCTTCACTTTTTCCAAGTCCTTTTTCAGCCAGTTGCTTGCACTTGCCCCATTACTGAAGCCAGGTAGCAGCTGAGTGTATGGACATGGAAACCAGCACTCCCGGCAAGAAGCCATGGTGGACCATGCCCCAAAACTTTCGTGTTCCATTGGTATTTTACATGGAAGAGGACCAGGAGGAGCTTATTTTCGGTGAGTGGCTTTTGCTTTTGTCCCCTCCTTTATTCCTTCTTCTGATCTTCCCCCTACTTTCCCACCTCCATCTGTCCCAGGTCTCTACCCCCAAGGCCACCTCCCACTCCCCAAGTGCTGGTGGCTTACAGTCCGTCTTCTCACTTCTTACACTCACAGGGCAGAGTGACACATACCTTCGCTGCATCGAGGAGCACAGCTACACCCTCATTCAACTGGAGAGGTGGTTTACAGCCACAGGCCAGACTCGCGTCACTGTGGTCGGACCACCGAGCGCAAGGCAGTGGCTATTGCACATGATATTGTGTGTGGGTAGCCAGGACTCCTATTGTCATGCCCGGGGTAGGTATCCTTGGCTGAACTGTGGTTGAGGGCTTAGTGGAGACTTGGCAGAGTTGCATGGTACCTTGGGTTCTTGAGGAACCACTTGGGTGCCTGGGAATCCGCGCGCTCCCTGGAGTCTGTTGAGAAGGGAAGGGCCCATTTTTTGTGGCACGTATTAATGGTTGTTCAGGGGAGGGGAAGGTGTTAAGGAGGTGTAAATGGGTCACCTGGGAAGGCCTGGGTGGCATGACACCCCCACAGTGTCCCCATGGAAGTTCTGGCCTGCCCTGGGGCTCCAGTCATGGGCGCCGCTTTACCAGCTCTGGGCATTCCCCCAACAGGCCTCGAGATGCTGCGGCGTGTCCGGAGCCAGCCCCTGACCAAGGATGACCTGGCGACCCCCTTGAGCATGGAGCCCAACACCGGAGACCTGTCTTTGGCCACCAGGATAAGTGGAAATATCTCTCTTAGTGCTCCTGAGGCTTCCCTTTACCTACTGGCTGGTTGTTCCGGGTTCCATCTGAGTTCACTCTATCCGTGATAAAGGACTGATCTTCCCCACGGGAGTTGAGATGTAAGGGGAAGTCTTGGCTTAGCCTTTGAGAAAGGCTTGAAAGACATTGTAAGATTGACTTTGTGGGCCCAGTCCTGTGCCTTGCAGGCCTTCTAGGCGTGTGTCTGAGGGAAGTTTCCTAAATGTAAGAAAGTCTTCTGTTCTCCTGGCAATGATACCCAATAAAATAAGCCACCTAATATGCAAAGCCTTTGGCGTGCTGTCCTCTTTCCTCTGGATAAACTTATCCAGCCCAGAAGAAGCTTCTCTGGGCAAGCCTAGTGCTAATGGTGAGGCACAGCCAAGTGAAGGAGCTGGAAACAAAAGACAGCTCTTTTATGAACTACTTCTCTTAGACTGGGAACCTGGTCAGGCTGCTCTGAGTTGAGTGAAAACAGGGGCTTCTGAAAAGAAGGGATCCTCCTAAGAGTCTCACAGTCCTCGCAGACCTTAAAATGCTGACAAAAGGGGAGAAAGGGATGGTGGTGGGAGGAGGGGTCCATACAGAGATGGCATGTGTTCCCCCAACTGCCCAGTGAAGCAGGCAGCCAGGCCTTGGCCCTGATGGCCAGAGGTTGGGAGTGGGAGTGGAGGGAGTGGCTTTCAGGGAGCAAAGGATTCTGAGGCCCCTCAGAACATGAATAAATCTGATTAGTAAGGCTTCCTAATCTCCATTCCAGAACTTTCTCCCAAATGCCAAATCTACCTTTGGATCTCTCTACCCAAGATTATGGAAGGTTGATATGTCCTTACTTGAACACTTCCTCTTAATTTGCTCCTTTTTGAGCATTCTGTGTCTTACAACGAGACGATTGCAGTACTCTAGGAGGGGGATGATGGTGTTTTGGACCAGAGTGGAGGGGTCAAATGTTAGGAAATGTACATGGTCAGTTAATAAATGTTGGAAAGGTCAGATTCACAGTGGAAAAACACTTCGAATCTGACTGGAAGAAGAAAACAACCAAATCAACACTATTCTCAAAGGGAATATTATGTTTACTTCTAAGTTGATAATTTCAAGATTGATGGCTCATAAAGTAAAGGGAAAACCTAATTTGTAAAAGACATGTGCACAAAAAGTATTCTGCTTTGATTAACTTTCACACCAAGAATGATCAAATTAACATTCTGTCTTCTGGAGGCTATAATTTTCATCTCTATATCCCAGTCACCAAAGGTTTCTGTGTGGGCACATCCTAGCTAGGTACTATAATGTAGGAGTTAATATTTCAAACACTGGAGTGAGAGTACATCCATTTAAATCCTAGCTCTACCACTAAGTAGCTTTATGATCTTTGGTGGTTTACTGGTTTCTCAGTGTGTTGGTGTAACATAAGAAATGGCTTAAAAAAATAGCAAAAATGTTTTGTCTCTTTAAAACATCCCCCACTCCTTTTGGAGACCTAGGACTTGTATCCCTGTCTCAGGCCAGTGGTGGGGAGGGGCAGGGGAACGTCTTTTATTCTTTGTGCCACAAGGAGATGGCTCAAGGGAATTGTCTGGGTGGAGGTCATGAGATGGGTTTAGCTGAAGATGGGATTAATCCAGGTGGAGGTTATGAGATTGTTTTAGCCATAGATGGGATTGATGAGACCCTTTAGAAGCTTTATACTTTTCAGAAGCAGGACATAGCATTTCAGACAGGAGTCTCCATCCTCCCCATTCGCCAGCAAATTAATAAAACTCTTTCCTTCTCCTCAAACCAATTGTACTCAGTCTTCTGATGCTGCCTTGGGGACAAGTACCAAACTTTTGGTAACATTGGTTTTCTGATCTATAAAACAGATAGTAATAGTAACTAACTCTGATGGACAATTTTTTTTTTTGGCATACATTCTTTCACTGCCTTTCTTTTAGCAGAACTATTGTTTGATGAAGGTCTCCCCTACGTCCCTTGCTCCGAAAAGGTAATGCTGATTGATTGGGTTAAGCCAATCAGGGCATACACATTGCGACTTTCTCGTTCAGGAATGAACATGTGATCTGTTTTAGTCTAATCACGTGTCAGGAAAGGATTTATATTCCACACTTGAATGGAGCGCTCCCTGTCCCCTCCCTTCTCCTGTTAGATGTGATCAAGGAGGTGTGTGTTACCAATCGCCACTAGCTGTCATCTTGTGGACAACAGAGGAACCACCAATGGTAAACTGCCAGATTGCAGAGACAGAGAGAACCAGGAAGGTTGATTATGTAATTGAACAAATTGTGCTTTGCCTGGAGGCAGCCCTTCTGTTCTTTCAGCCATGTTCGATAAAAATGTCCCCATAGTTAGGATTGTTTCAGCTAAGGTTTTCTCACTCCTCCAGCCAAATGTTTCCTATCTGATACACTATTTGTGGTAATGTGAGGATTACAGGAGACAATAACTGGGAAGCACTTTCTGGCACAGTATTGGGTAGTCACTAATCCTGTGTTGCTATTCTAAAGCCTGAGGTCCAAAGACTAAATAGACTGGGCTCTGGCTATGGGTTTGGCATTGGTAGGAGATGGGGTAAAGAGAAGTGGGGAGCAGGAATGTAGTGTCACAGGACTCAGGGACAGGAGAAGGGAGAATAGTTCCCCTTCTTTCTTTTTTCTAGCTGGCATTCAAATGAAGTCCCCCTTCTTTCTTTGGAGTCTACAGTGAAGTTTGAGAGAAGTTAATCTTTCTGATGAATGGGCAAGTCTAGGCATGGGTGTCCTCTATGGGTCTGAGCCAACTGTTTTGGGGATGGAGGAGGGATAGAGACCAAGGATGCTGAGGCTTAGATGGCATGAGAATGGGGCTGCTTAGGGAGGTGCTCCTCTCAGTCTTGTAGAAACATGGTTACTTGTTAGATGGCATTAATTAATTTCTTCCCAGGCCACTTTGGAAAAGTACAAGACCTTTGGGAAAAGTGACAGAATTCGTGACACGGTGTGACTGAGGCTTAATGAGCACACTCTCCCCTTTACTGAGAGGCCTCAAGTTAGGGGTTGGAAATTGTTGAAAGCTGAATAAAAGGCTTGGCGCTCATTAACGTATTGAATGTTTACTCCCTGGTACTACCTGAGAAGTCAGAGGTATAATGTGCGTGAGATGTCCCTGCCCTTCAGTAGTTTTAATCTGGGGCATTCAAGGTAACTTTGCGGCTGGGCGCGGTGGCTCACGCCTGTAATCCTAGCACTCTGGGAGGCCGAGACGGGTGGATCGCTCGAGGTCAGGAGTTCGAGACGAATCTAAACAAGAGCGAGACCCTGTCTCTACTAAAAAATAGAAGGAAATGATCTGGACAACTAAAAAAATATATATATATATACAGAAAAAATTAGCCGGGCATGGTGGCGCATGCCTGCAGTCCCAGCTACTCGGGAGGCTGAGGTGAAAGGATTGCTTGAGCCCAGGAGTTTGAGGTTGCTGTGAGCTAGGCTAACGCCACGGCACTCTAGCCTGGGCAACAGAGCCAGACTCTGTCTCAAAAAAAAAAAAGTCAAGGTAACTTTGGGCCCAAGTCAAGACATCTAAAGGTGATGCTCAGGAGGGACATTGGATCTGGAGATACTGATTGGGTGGGATCATCCTACTTTAGTAGTTGAGTCATAGGTGAGACCACCTGGGAAGAGCTTGAAGCATGAAGGAGAAAAGGGAAGAGGCTGATGGTGGAATCCACAGGAACACCGACAGTTAAGTGATGAAAAACAATAAGAAGCTTGGAGAAGTCTATAAAGATGATTGAGCCATAGAAGTAGGAGACTGTGATATTGTGAAATATATACAGTATTTGGTCTTAGTCCCCTTTCCTGACATACAGCTCCTAAAACTTTTGTAATCCCCAAAGTGATGAGTGTCTTTAGTATGTTAATGAGATGACTGGTGACTGGGGCCCCAGATAGCTTCAGGATGGGAGCTGGTCACAGAAAAGGCTGAGGTATGATTATTGTAGGGTTGGGACTTTCAGCTTCACCCCCCGACTCTGGAGAGGGAGGAGGGGCTGAAGGATGAGCTGATCACCAAAGGCCTATGATTTAGTCAATCATGTCTACAAAATGAAGCCTCCATAAAAATCCAAAAGGACTGGGTTCGTGGAGATTCTGGATAGTTGAACACATGGAGGTTCCTGGAGGGTGGTATGCCCTTCCCACATAACTTCACCCTGTGTATCTCTTCGTCTGTATCCTTTGTAACATCCTTTATAATAAACATGTAAACGTAAGTCAATGTTTTCCTGAGTTCTGTGAGCCATTCTAGAAAACTAATTGAACCCTCAAGGAGGAGGTTGTGGGAACCCCAATTTACAGCTGGTCGGTCAGAAACACAGGTAAAACAACCTGGGGCTTGTGGCTGGCATCTGAAGTGGGAGGCAGTCTTGTGGGACTGAGCTCTCAACCTGTGGGCTCTGACACTATCTCCAGGTGGACAGTGTCAGAATTGAATTGAATTAGAGGACACCCAGCTGCTGTCTGCTGCAGAGCTAATTGATTGGTTGTTGGTGATGTTAAATAAAATGTATAGGAGGCCATTGGTTTGGACCGAGCTCCTGCACTAGGTTCAACAGACCAAACCAAAATGGAGTCACTCATGCTAAAAGAGTCACGTCACCAAGCCAAAACTAAGTTGTTTGTCTGACCTTTTGAGAAATCAGGAGAGAGGTGCTAGCCAAATCTACAAACAGCCAGTTTTAGCCTACAAGATAAGGAAGTCCCTTCTGCTTTAACCTTTACAAGGGAAGTAACTTTGAAACAACCAATTTGCTTTTTGTTTTCTGTTTCTGCTTTCCTCAGCCCTTTTCAGTCTATAAAACCAACCTCCTCCACTCAGCTTATCAGAACATTCTTTTTAATAAAATGAGGTGTTGCCCAATTCAGGAATCACAAACCAAAGTCATTAAGATCTTTAAATTAAATTTGTTGTAATTTGTCTTTTGACAGTGGAGAGAAATCGCCACACACTTCTTCGTGATCAAGAGGTCACAGAAGTCTTCTGTGTTGATTGCTGAGTGACAGAATACACTTTGTTTTTTTCTCTATATCCTAGAGAGACAAACCGGGAAGGGGTAGTGTTCTGAAGAGGAGAGAATTTCAAGATAAATAAAGAGTGGTTGCACTGTTAACTACCACAGAAAAGCCAAATGGGATGCTGGTTGAATGTGTCCATCAAATCAGCTTCTAGAAGGTCGTGGAGATCCTCCCAGAGCAGTTTGTCGTGTGGTTTGGGTCTGGCTATCATGTGCAGGTTAGTGGACGGATGCTGTGGAAATGGAAGTACTTTATATCATTTATTTTATAAGTACAGAGTTTGTTTCTAAAGTTAAGATGAAGTATAGAATAAACTAAAGAGGAAGGGAGGTTACTGGGAAGTTGCTAGTAACATGGGAGAGGCATAAGAATGTTTACGAGGGAAAAGAGTGAGAGTGAGATGCTGTCTATATGGGGCAGGGAGGTGCAACTGGGGACAGCTAGGGGCTTGGGAACACAGAGCAGATGAATTAGTCTGCTCTGAAAGCAGGGAGTTCCCATACTGGAATGGTGTTGGCCTTCCCTTCCGACAAGCGGAGAGATCTCTGGTAACAGCATTGCCCAGAGGGCTCAGGTGAAGAGCAGCAGCAATTCTCAAATGCATGCGTGCTCTTGGCGTGTGCAATGTGTGATGTCCTCATGGCTTATATAAGGGCAAGCGGCACCCTGAGCTGCAGTGTGGGGAAGGTGTGAGTACCTGCACAGATACGGGCAGGGACTGGCAATATAGGAAGTGAATCACAGCAATGTAGGCAAAAGAAAAGAGAAGGAAGTAGAAGCAAGTAATGGAAAGAGATGAGTGTCATCAAAGATAAGGAAAAAAACCACATAGGTAAAAAGTTTTAAAAGTAGATACAGGTATGGTGACAGTGTATGGGAACCCTAGAATCCTGATACCTATCCTAGAGCATACTGGACTTAAGATTGTTACCAAAATTACGACAGAAATAAAGTAAATTATGTAAATTGGCAAAGAGAAATATATCATACCAAGGTACCTTTGGCTTTCCTATTTATTTCTGCGGGAAAATTTTGCCATTCACCAGTTTTGTGGTGCTGTGATTTTCAGGGCAGTACATAAATCTATAGTTTGCACAATGTATCTGATAAATTTCTGCTTTGAAATGTGGTAAAAACCTCAGGAATTTGGAATTAGGTAGGTTAGAGGGAGAAGTCTTGTAGTTAATAAAAATTTAAGTGTTTCAAATAAACAATTTTTACTTGTACCAGATTCTTGTTGAAGTTGAAATGAAGCTAATAAAATAGCCACGTCAAGGTCTGGGAAGCTATTTTTTTCTTTTTTTTTTTTTGAGACAGAGTCTCACTCTGTTGCCCTGGCTACAGTGAGTGCCGTGGTGTCAGCCTAGCTCACAGCAACCTCAAAGTCCTGGACTCAAGCGATCCTCCTGCCTCAGCCTCCCGAGTAGCTGGGACTACAGGCATGCGCCACCATGCCCGGCTAATTTTTTCTATATATTTTTAGTTGTCCAGATACTTTCTTTCTATTTTTTTTAGTAGAGACAGGGTTTTGCTCTTGCTCAGGCTGGTCTCGAACTCCTGAGCTCAAACAATCCGCCCGCCTCAGCCTCCCAGAGTGCTAGGATTACAGGCGTGAGCCACCGCACCTGGCCTGGGAAGTTATTTTTATCAATGGTTAGGATAGAATATATTGCTTTTAAATGATGGGGGTGGGAGGTATGGCTAAAATAGTTCCAAAAATGTCTGGAAGCAGTTTACATTTTTAAGTTGGTCAAGCCTGTTTCATACACAATTGTATTTTCAATTGTCTAGAAGTTGATAGAATAGACACATACCTAAAGATGTGGAAACAACCCAAGTGCCCATCAATCCATGAGTGTAATAATAAAATGTGGTATATATAGACCATGGAGTACTACTCAGACACACACAAAAAAGGTGAACTAATACCTCTTGTATTATCCTGGATGGAACTGAAGCCCGTTCTTCTAAGTGAAGTATCACAAGAATGGAAAAACAAACACCACATGTACTCACCATCAAATTGGTACTAATTGATCAAAACTTATGCGCATATGTGGAAGTAACATTCATTGGATCTTGGGCAGGTGGGAGGAGGGAGGAGGGGATGGGTAAACTTGCAACTAACGGGTGAGGTGCATGCTGTCTGGGGGATTGGACACGCTGTAGCTCTGACTCGGGTGGTGCAAAGGCAATTTATATAACCAAAGCGTTTGTACCCCCATAATACTCTGAAAAAAAAAAGAATTCATTATCTATCAAAGAAAATGCATAAATTCTAGAAGTACTCCTTGTTCCTTTGCTACAAAGTGTATATTCAAAGGTAAAGCTAAAATTAACTTATTGAATGTAAACAAAAAAAGAATAGACACATACCTGTTTGATCTCTTTAGAGCCATGGTGGGAAGCTCCCTTCTCCCTCCAGGATAACACTCATTCTTCTATTCCTGTCTAAAATACCTCTGTTTGGGCTTTTTTGCTTTGTGTTCCAGAGTTCTAACATTCCGAGCCTCCTTGAGAATAATTCCACTGGAATGAATCCAGGGCACTTAGTGCAAAATTGCTAGTGGAACAGAAGGAATGGGATTTTAAATTTTTTAAATTATTATTATTATTATTTTTAAGACAGGGTCCCACTCTGTTGCCTGGGCTAGAGTGTAGTGGTGTCAATATTGCTCACTGCAACCTCAAACGCCTGGGCTGAAGCCATCCTCCTGCCTCGGCCTCTGGAGTGGCTGGGACTATAAGAGCATGTCACCACGCATGGCTAATTTTTCTAGTTTTTTGTAGAGATGAGACTCTTGCTCAGGCTGGTTTTGAACTCCTGTGCTCAAGTGATCCTCTCAGCTTGGCCTCCCAAAGTGGTAGCATTGCAGGCGTGAGCCACCATGCCCAGCCTAGGAATGGGATGGATCTTTTAGGGAAGAAGGGGAAAAGGTCCCTTTGGAGCAGAAGCCCTGCCCTGGTAGGTCAGAGCTGGATAGGTGCTGAGTTGCCAAAGGCTGCAGCATTTGGGCACCTGCCTGGTCCCCATTTCTGATCATATGTTTTATTATATAATAGCACAAAACTCACATGTGTCGGTATCTGAGTTATGATCAATATCAAATTAATGTTTCTTATGATACCTTTAAGAGCATATGCAAATCTCCCCCCTTTCCAAATTACCAAAGACTTCTTCAGCAACACTGAAAAAAGATAATTTTTATATTTCATTCCAAAATCTGTACATTCCAAATCTGTCAGTTTTGTTGATCGGACCAGTCAGTTAGTTCCAGATAAAAATAGTCATACTAGCTGTTTACAGACATCTTTTTAATGTTTTACTTTAAAACAGATAATCCCAGTAAAAGAGAGCAAAGGAAATTACATTTTAATGGTAGCTTGAAATGGATATGATGTTCCTGATTTATTTGTTTTCAGGAAACAGACAGTGGCATTGTCATACATGACTTTTAGAACTGCTCACTTAAATGCACATAATTATATTAAATTAAGTTTCTCTTACGAAAACACAACCATGTCATTTAAGGCAAAAAATATCAGCTTCTGGGGAGATAAGTTAATATTTACGATATTTCCTTAATCTGGTTGAATGAAGTGATCCATTAATCGAGTCGCCGAGGTTTCATCATTCCTTAACAGTTTTGCTTTGCAAATGGGCATGAGAATTAGTCACTTTGTGCCTGATTTCCTCCTCTCTATTAGGCTTGTTTTACTTGCAAATTGAGAACTTTCAGAATCACTGAGTCAATGGGAGGTTAGAAAGGCACCTTAGAACAGGAGATAAGGACTTAAAAACTTAAATAAAATGTCTTATTTTAAACAAAACTTGCAATCTACAGATATTAATTTAGTTGAACAAAATGCAAACATTTAGATCAGACATAGCAAAATTTTTTAGTTAATCTCATACAAGGGCTGTTTGTAATTAAGTAGTAACTTGATCAACCCTACATGTTGAAGAAAGCAGACAAACTTGAACTGAGAAAGCATGTGCTACTCAGTGCTCAGCTAAATTGTGCTTCAAGACACCATTTCGGATTGACTAATGGACTTGGCTAAGTGTAAATGGGAGACCCCTCTCGTTTCCATAGACAGTAACACAACAGACAGAATCCTACAGTTTTCACACAATACAACTATCTTTTAACATCCAAAAATTTTTGTGCTAGAGTAAGATAGACACAAAATGGTCATGGCTTCAATGTATAAAAGTTTTTCACAACGTGGTTTATCACATTTTGCTATGATTAAGACCTCAGTGATGTATTTAGGTTTTCTTTCTGAATCTTCAGTCTTCAGCAATTCTGTATGAACTATACTGTGTTTGAGGCCAAACAAGGCCTAAGAAGGGGTCCCCAATACATTCAGAATTCCTGCTGCCAGTGGGGTTCGACCCGGGACAGAGTATGTCCAAGAATCAGTGCTACCTGAAAATTGCTGCCTCCCTCCTCTTCCTCAGCTAATACTTGGAGAGAGCCTGCCAAGTGCCTGGCAGGTGTCTGGCTTTAGGTCAGTGGAGGTGTGTGTGTGTGTGTCTGTGTGTGTGTGTGTGTGTGTGTGTGTGTGTGTGCGCGCGCATGTGTATTCATGTGTGCAACATTCTTGGGAGAGTGTATCTCAACTTCAGGTTGGGTGGAGACATGGGTAGATAAAAAATTGCATTTAATAACTTACTAACATTCTATATTTGGAAAATGAAAATAATTGCTTTAAAAGATTGACAAAATCTTTTTAACTGGGGTGTAAAATTTAGACTCCATCTTCTCTGTTTCTCCAGCAGCCAAGAAGGTTCTGAATGATACACTCCAGGGGAGTGTGTTAGAATCCAAATGGGGTGAGAAGAGAAAGCTTTTAAAATCTCAGTGTTTATCAAAAGGGACAAAGATTTTAAAAGGTTGAGAAACACATTTTAGGTAGAGTGAATTGGTTTACTTGGGGATGGAGGCTGGTTAAGGCCTGGCGAAATTCAGAAGCAGGAAATCAATAAGCAATTAATAGAAAAAGAAAAGCAGGGGAGAGTCAGTGAATGAGAAAGCCTGTTGAGGAGAGAGTTGGGGAGGATTGGTGGAGTTCAGGGCCTCCTTCCTTCGAACAGCCACTCGATATCCCTGTTCATTCTGCCTAGCTGCTGGAGAAGTATTTCTGGAGGTAGCACTAATGTCTGCCAAGAAAAAAACTCTTCCTTTCTTGAGTCCTTCTGTGGCTAGGGTTTAACTGAATTGAAGTGCTATCTCTTGTCTCCTTGCCTTTTGAATGCTGTTACTTAGGCTGGAGTTCTGATGGTCTGAGATAGCTAAACTGGTTTCTAACAAGCAGTCAGCAATGCTTGCTTTCTTGATAAATACATTTTTCATTTTGTTTCCCTTTGTCTTTCTGCTGCCATGTTATACTGTTAAGTGTTTTGATTTGCAGACCCTGCCAGTGTTATCTGGCTTCAGATTGTAAATGTATATATCAGGAAACTGAACCAGTTATTTCAGATCTGGAACAACATTCTTGGGGACAATAGAAAATGTTCACCATAGTATAAAAAGGAAAGGAACTTTACTTTTAGCCTTTCATATGCAAAATGTACACATAATAGCAAAAGACATTCAGGGCATATTAAAAAATAAATACCTTGCAAAATTCTCTGTTTATATATAAGAATAAGGGATGTTTAGGTAGTTGAATTCCCTAGCAATACTCATTTTCTAAAAAATCTATTTCTTTTATTTTGGTTTGTTTCTTTCCCTCTCATTGCTCCTTGAGGGGGAAGTCATTTTCTTTAACTTTGCCTACTTCCTGGTGGTGTTTCTGGATTCTTTTCAAGCCTTTCCTATCTCAGTCCCACTCAAATGTCCCATTCCCCAGGGTCCTACCAATACGTCAGCTAAATGAGAATAGCTTCTCACACTTGCCTTTCATGTGGGCAGTAATGGCAAGCCTGGGGTTGGTGTCATTGCAGAGAGACCAGCCCAATCATGGTGGCTGTCCTACCAATCAGTATTTCACATGCTTGTGCAGAAGTTGACCACTTATGCAGTTGATTCTGCCATCAGGGAATATGTTTCCATAAAGTCAAATATGTCAAATAGTCTATTTGCCCCACTGGCCCTGAATTTCATTATTTGCACATTTTCTAATTGAAGAACATTCTTGTCATAAAGAACAACATGAAAATGATGTGCAAAATTGCTTGCCACAGCGCTAAATCACCAAAAGCACACAAATTGACATTCAAATTACATTAATAATAAAATGACTGAATAAGAATGGGTTGGCAAATATATCTTAAAATAAGCAGCCATTTCTATTATTCCCAAAATCTGCTTTACTTGATACCTTGTTAGCAGCTGTTGATAGCCTTTGTGTTTAAATATACATTATGGCCTAATTTTGAAAATATATTTCGTGTTTAGTCACAAAGCAGAAATGCCTGAAATTTGAAGGTGTTTACTCCCAAGATTTTGAAATTACAGCGTCAAATCTCCTAAATGATCTAATCTTGACATATTCATACACCCCATAGCGTTAGCTGTGTTTGGTTTCTCAGGCTTTTTAAGTCAAGGTACATTACTAAGTGAATGGGTTAATGTTGATGCACCTTGGAATTTCAGCCATCCCTAAACATGCATTTTCATGCAATTAAAAGATTACAGGCTTATAAACTGCCTTTCATATTCCTCCTGATTCTTGCAATTTCAACTTTTTAGAAGGGCTTTCAAAATAGTTCATGCAATGATATGTATGGCTAAAGGAACTGCTATGCCTGGAAAGAAAACAATGAACTTATTTCAGTTTGACATGAGGCAAGCTGAGGGCATCTGTACTTTCTCCTGCCTTACAAATACTCTGAGATGATGGTGATCTTCCAGTCCTTAGAGAGTCTGACGCAAAAGCAGCTTCCCTGGCAGGCTGTGGTGCGGCATCAAAAGTGTCTGTCTCTGTCTCTTCGGGACCCACCTCTTCATCAGTTATGAACAATTTGGATTCCCTCCATTTGGGGTAAAAATCTTGGCTGCCTCTGGAGCCACTGGACTCACTCCCTGAAAGCTGTATATTCAGTTCCTCAGTCGACCTGATCAGGTTTTGTACAGACAAAGATTTGCCCAAGTCCTTCGGCACCATGGGGTGGACAGACAACAGAGTTTCTCCTCCCATGTCAAAGCTTTTCCTCAGAGAACGGTCCTTGGTCAGATTTGACTGTGCAACCTGAATATTTTCCTTGGAGGCAACAAGGCAGGTGGTGACGTCAGAAATGCTTTCCTGTAAGCCTGCGGGGTTTGGGTGCAGGGTCTCTGGCCTAGGCAGATGCTTGATGGCTGGGAGAGGAGGTGGGATCTGTAAAGTTGTTGGGGCTGCTGGCTTGGGTGCCGTGTTTATTTGGTTTGCAATGTTGTTGGTGGCCACCACTGCAGAGCCATCGCTTTGACTCATTGGCACCTGTGTTGCTTGACTATGCATAGTAGGGCTAAGCGCATAGAAAGTCTGAGCACTGAACTCATTTGGCGTCAGAATGAACTGCAGGCCTCTCGAGATGTTGGCACTAGCTGATCTGGATAAGCAGCCACTGTTTTGTGCAGAACTGGACAGGTCTTTGCTATCCACAGGACTTTGATAGTCAGATGTCTGTTCACATTCAAAAGGTGGGATCTGGAATGAAGCCAAAGCGAGGGCGGAGGCAGAGCCTTTCCGGAGGACCTGCTGATAGATGTCGAGTAGGCAGTCCAGCTTGGACTCAATGGACTGTACCTAGAAGTGGGAAAAATGGTTACACATGAACATAATGGGTTATTATGAATAAACTTCACTTCTAGAATTAAGAAGTGAAATCAGGGTGTACCAATACAGTCAAATCGATATTGAATCTAAAGTACAAGGCAGTCTTGACCCTTAGTGAACATACCTAGTAGTGGTGGGGCCAGAGGAGGATTTAGGGATAGAGAGAGGCTTTGGCTTCCATATAACCTCCATTGGCACTTCTCCCTCCCATTTCTTTTAAAATGGACAATTGATGTTCTCAAAAATCATATAAACACTATAAAAATGCAACCTCAAGACTCCCCATTCCAATCGGATTGCCTTCCCTGAGCTCTTCATTCTGGAATTCTACTGAAGTCTAGTAAGGAATTTATTCTATCATGAAATCAAGACCTTAAGTACCGGTCTAGGTGATTTTGAATTTAAAAATAAAGGTACAAAATGCTTCAGACCTAATACTTGAAATATTTATAATTAAATTGGGGGAACAATTTGACTTCTGGGAAATTGTCTTTGTATATGATGATACAGCCTCAGGGTTAACAAACGTTCAATGTGTCATCATAATTATAATAAGGTTTTGTTTTATTTTTGAAAAGAGTGACCAAAAGAGAAACAACGAAAATAACCAAAATACAAATGAAAAATAGACCTTTATTATTTTACTATTGAAATCTATAGCTGCTTCCAGTTGAGTATTAATTGATGAGATGAAATTTTCTATTCTTTTATATGGAAATCCAAAGGTGTGTTAGAGAACACTGCCTATGCACAAAGAAAATTTATTTATATATTTATTTATTTATTTTCCCAGCCTCCAGAACTGTGAGAAGAAAATTTAATTTCATTCATTCTTTCTTGATTTTATTCCTTTTATTAAGAAGATATATTAATCACTATAATACATCTAAATGCCTATAATCAATTTTTTTTTTTTTTTTTTTGAGACAGAGTCTCACTGTGTTGACCAGGCTAGAGTGCCGTGGCGTCATCCTCGCTCACAGCAACCTCAAACTCCTGGGCTCAAGCGATCCTCCTGCCTCAGCCTCCCGAGTAGCTGGGACTACAGGCATGTGCCACCATGCCCGGCTAATTTTTTCTATATATTTTTAGTTGTCCAATTAATTTCTTTCTATTTTTAGTAGAGACGGGGTCTCGCTCTTGCTCAGGCTGGTTTCGAACTCCTGAGCTCAAACAAGCCGCCCGTCTCGGCCTCCAGAGAGCTAGGATTATAGGCATGAGCCACTGCGCCCGGCCGCCTATAATCAATTTTGATTTGAAAAATTCTGGCTGAAAAGTTAACCAATGTAGTTGTATTGTACCTGTTTTTCAACCTTGACCACCCGGCCGAGCATACTGAGGTCATCTGTGGTCTCATGTTCTGCCATTATTTTCTCTCGGCTCTTCTTATCTGATGTGATTTGCCCTTTTCCAAGAATTTGATCAACACTGTCAGAGAAAGAGGAGACCTGATTACGAATGCTGAACATGGAGTTTGCCCTAAGCCAGAATGAAGTGTTTTGAAAAAAAATTAAATACAATTATCTTTAATTTATGGAAGATGAAATAAGGATGAATTTGTTCCAGTTGATGTGCTTATTTTGGTAACATGAGAAGACACACGAGATTAATTTTGTCATTATTCTGGTCCAAGATGAAACCACTTATGGGGGAGCTTCTGGAAGAAAAACTGTCCTACACTGCAAAGTAATTTGTTTCTACCTCTGATCAGGTAGTTCCTGAATTTAACCACTTCAAAATATGACAAAATCGTAATTATGATTATTTTGCATTAATAGAACAGAATATTCAATGAGCATTTATTGTATATCTGACATGTGGAAGATAAGCAGATAAGAAAGCTATGGTCTTTTCCTTTTGGAATTTGAGTTGAAGAATATACGTGAGCTACAAACTCAAGATCAGTTCTATAAATTCTGTAACAGTTCCAACTTTATAAAAACCTAGAAGCCATAGTTATTTTTTTTCCTTCAGAACTTTGAGTTGTTGTTTTAGGTAGTTCTATTAAAATATTTGGAAGACCGTGGCCCCTAGGTAGAGATTGTAACATGACCACAGGATGAGTTACAGCAATTTTCAAGAAACTTGATTAGCCTAAATGAGAATTACTTTTTTTTTTCTGGTGTGTTTCCCGCACCCTCCCCGCCCCCAGTTGAATTCTCAGGGGTATTGACTAAACTTTACTGCTTACTTTGCACAGAAACATAGTGTCTACTTTCTGCCATGATATCTAATCTATTAAGTTTCAAGCTCTACAACAGCAGTCCCCAACCTTTTTGGCACCAGGGACCGGTTTCATGGAAAACAATTTTTCCACAGAGTGGGGGAGGAGGAGGTGGAGCTCAGGCAGTGATGCGTGATGGGGTGCGGCTGTAAATACAGATGAAGCCTCGCTGGGCCACCGCTCACCTCCTACTGTGCCAATAGGTGCTGGCCCACGGCCCAGGGGTTGGGGACAGCAGCTCTACAAGGAGTGGGTCATTATTTTATTAATCTCTGGATGTCCACAGTTCCTGGCATACATAATGTGCTCAGTAATTATCTGCTTAGTGTATGAACAAATTGTGACCTCTATAATTGATGAATAGGTGTTTTTATAAAGTGTTTAGGATATGCCTCACACTGGAGTAAGTGTGTTTTGGGGATATAAAAAATGTTAAAACTCAGTCCCTGCTTTTTAGGAACTTTCAATCACAATGCTAATTTGTACTGATAATGAAGCAAGACTCAAAAATGGAATTGACTAAATATTTTGGCTTCAAGATAACACAATCAACCATATGTAGTTGGAATTAACATATTACACTCATTTTTCTTTTTTAAGAGATATGGTCTCACTTTGTTGCCCAGGCTGGAGTGCTGTGGCAAGATCATAGCTCACTGCAGGTTTGAGCTCCTGGGCTCAAGGTGTCCTCCTGCCTTAGCATCCTGAGTAGCTGGGATTGCAGGGGTGCGCCGCCACACCTGGCTGAACTCATTTTTTTTTTTTTTGAGACAGAGTCTCACTGTGTTGCCCAGGTTAGAGTGCTGTGGCGTCAGCCTAGCTCACAGCAACCTCAAACTCCTGAGCTCAAGCGATCCTCCTCCCTCAGCCTACAAGTAGCTGGGACTACAGGCATGTGCCACCATGCCCGGCTAATTTTTTTCTATATATTTTTAGTTGTCCAGCTAATTTCTTTCTATTTTTTTTTTTTTAATAGAGATGGGGTCTTGCTCTTGCTCAGGCTGGTCTCAAACTCCTGAGCTCAAACGATCCGCCCGCCTCGGCCTCCCAGAGTGCTAGGATTACAGGCGTGAGCCACCGCGCCCGGCTGAACTCATTTTTTAAAACCACTCAATAAGGTGCTATTGGAAGAACAGTGTATGTCCAGCACTGTACAGGACACAAATGAAGGAAATGAAGATTCTGAGTGCTCTTATGCTCTGTAGTAGACTCTAAATGCTGTAGGTGGTCAGAGAAGAGAAAGGTCTGTCTTTATGCGCTGGAGAGTTGGGTAAAGCTTCATGAAGGAGAAAGATTAACTGATTTCTCAAGGATGGTTAGGATTTAGATAATAACAAAAACAACAGTAACAGCAGCAGCTGCAATAATTTAAACATCAGCAACAACCATTAACATTTATTGAGCACTTGGTTCCGAGCCTGTTAACATGTTATGAGTCACATGTATTAACTCATTGAATGCTCATGACACTTCTATGTGGTAAGAACTAACATCCTCCTCATTTTTATAGATGAGGAAATGGAGACAGTTGGATGCTTTTAATTCCTGATTTACTCTATGTTAAAAGCAAATGTCCAGTTGCCCACTAAAAATGAATTAAAAATATAGAATTCGGAGGTTTTCTCTACTAAAGAGAAGTTCCTCCTAGACAGTTTCTGTGCCCATTCCTTTACAGTGAATAATATTTTCATTGCTTACCGTGTTTGAAGGCTTTTAATTCTACACAACATGTCCAGATGACCAGCCGAATATTGTTCGATGACATCTTTTACATCGTATGGGCGTAATGTTTCCTTAAACTTCCGTTTTGCAACATGAAATTTCATAATTCTGTATAAGCAATACATTACATATTAATCTTCATAATTGTAATAAAAGAAGGTACCAGATAGTTTACCAGTAAGTATAAGAAGCTGAAAAGTCATGCATCAAATTATTTAAGGCTTCTGCAGAAATGTAATATAAAAGCTTGAGATTATATGGATAATTTAAGAACATCTCACATGAGGCATATCTTAAGAGTAGAAAAACACACTAAAAAGGAAACTGAATATTAAGTGTTGTGCCTTTTTAATGTCCATTGAAATCCTGAATTATTGTCAAAGTCACAATTACAAAGATGTGGAAACAACCAAGTGCCCATCGATACATGAGTGGATTAATAAAATGTGATATTCGTATACCATGGAGCTCTACTCAGCCACAAAAAATAATGGGGATCTAGCACCTCTTGTATTATCCTGGATAGAGCTGGAGCCCATTCTACTAAGTGAAGTATCCCAAGAATGGAAAAACAAGCACCGCATGTACTCACCATCAAATTGGTTTTAACTGACCGACACTTAAGTGCACATATAGTAATAACATTCATCAGGTGTCGGGCAGGTGGGAAGGGGGAGAAAGGGATGGGTATATACACACCTAATGGGTGCAGTGTGTATCGTCTGGGGGATGGACACGTTTGAAACTCTGACTTGGGTGGGGCAAAGGCAATGTATGTAACCTAAACATTTGTATCCCGTAATATGCTGAAATAATGATAATAATAAAAATAAAAATATCATTCCTTTGAAAAAACAAAACAAAAAGCAATTCTAACATTTCCATGTGATCTCCGGAAATCCAAGATGTAACACCTAGTGATAGCATCCCTTAAAAAATATAAATGTTGTTAAATGGTCTTTTAGGTAACTACTAATACATGCATTTTTGAGATGCAAATATGTTTGCGAAATTCTCTTATTCTCTCCAGAGAAATGTATGCTAATGTGAAAATTTGTGAATTTTTTTCATAAATTATTTCTGCAGGATACTGCTGGATTAGCTAGCCAAGTTCCTTTTGTTTTGAACATAACATTCTTATTCACTAGGCTTGGGTGTCTAAGCTTTTTGGAACCAGAGATTTCTTATTACAATGCCTCCTCCAAAATGGACCCCATATTTTAAAACAGTATTTCATCAATAAATTCCATGATGTCATCAACAGTTAATCTGCCTAAGGTTAATCCTGCAATGACTTGATAAAATTCCTGATGAAAACAAAGAAACGTAACATTCTAATTAGCAGCCTTATAGCAGGTAAATGTTAAACTTGTTAGTGTTTTTCAACTATTAAGTGGCTCGTAGACTCTTGTTATCACACTCATAGATCCCAGGCTGGGCATCAGTCAACTAGGCTCTAAGAACCAACATTTATTGTCCCTTGGTGGAAAGTGGACAAATTAGGAACAAATGTAGAGTTTACAAAGAAAATACCTATTACCTATCCTAAGTAATAGCTGATTTCAAGAAATCCAAATTGTTTTATAGGTTAAGAAGCCCAAACCCTACCTTATAATTGTGTTATTAACTTCAAATTAATTGTATCCTAATTATTCCTGAATCATTTATCCATAATGATCTTACCCCATCTTGCTACCACATTTTCTTTATCAACTCCTTCTTTATTCAGGATAGATTTTTTTCCCCCTTAAAGACACTTAAGCAAAATTATTCATCAGAAAGTAAAGAAAATCTATATTTTAATTTAACCTGTTAGTATTTGGTTTTGGTTCCAAATTCGTTTACCAGCATTTAGGTTTCATCAGGGCTTAGACTACTATATCAAAAAACTGAGAAAAATAGTGAAATAAGTAAAATGTGAAGTTTCAGAACCTGAGTAATTATTATGTAAATGTTTCCCCACACCAGACTATCAATTAAGTAAAGGCAGAGATGAGAGCCTTTTGTTCAACAGTTAGTGCTTAATACAAGTCAGCGATTGCTACTACCACATCTACTATGACTGTTACCATTACCATTCTTCTCCTTCAACATTGTATTCAGACCTTAGCTCAGTTCTTGACACACAGTAAGAGATACTGAATAAGCGGAGGAAGGAAAGAAAGAGATAGAGAAAAGATCCTCTAATTTGGGTCACTTTTTTTTTTTTTTTTTGAGACAGAGTCTCACTCTGTTGCCTGGGCTAGAGTAAGTGCCGTGGCATCAGCCTAACTCACAGCAACCTCAAACTCCTGGGCTCAAGCAATCCTCCTGCCTCAGCCTCCCGAGTAGCTGGGAGGGCATGCGCCACCATGCC